CGACTTCAGAGCATCAGTTGTTTTTCCCACGGCCACGGCATTCGCTGCCGAGTCAGCGTGCCTTCAGCTAATTGTCAGACAGATGCAGTGCTGAAATCCTCCCAATCCACCTTCTTCGTCCCCAGGCCTCCCTCCTCAGTGTACAGTCCACAGCTCGTTGAAAGCACAATCCGTGTCTCAGGCGCGCAGTTGCATGGCAGGCAGTGGAACAGGCGTGATAGCGGTAACGCTGATGTGGTCTTCCCCCGCATTGCAGATCTCATAGATCCGGTTGACGTTTTCCTCATCAGGACACAAGAGATTCAATCGAGACATAACACAAGCGAATAGGATGTTCTCCATCCGGCCTGTAATGCCGACTGGTCCAGGACGAGCAGCTTGTACAATCACTAAGCAGCGCTCCTGGCGCCTTCTAGGTGCCTTCCGTTGGTGAGGCAGAGTATGGTTCTGGATGGGAGCAACTGACATAAGCTTGGATTGCCAGATCCACGCGATCGTCCCCGTGGTGAAAAAGCAGGATGAGTGAGTCGGAAGCGTGTAGTCAGGGAACAGGGACGAGGATGTTTTGATCAGGTTGTGCGAGGACATGCAAGACACGTCAGACCTTCAGTGCCAGGACTAAAGCTGAGAAAATTCAGACCCGCGGGACAGGTCAGTTCCCATCTGCGCAATGTTGCGGGCACCAATATGACAGAAGGATGGCAGCAGAACTGCATCTCCCGTTCGGAACCCATTCGTCCTGAACCGTTAAGGGTGAGAAGTCGTCTACTTTAGGAGCGTTGTTAAAAATCTGTTTCATCTCCCATGGGCCATCTCAGAAGATGGGCTGCAGGTTCGATGTAGTTCTTCATCGAGTCCCAAGGACGTGTCGCATTTCGAACAGATGCGGAAGCTCTATGAGCGCTGTCTCCGAAGCTCATCCGCCGTTGGAAAAGCGTGTCTTTGGTCGACCCGGACGCATGGAACCGTGATTCGGGTCCGTGTGAGGACCATAAGTAGATCATAAGGACAAAAAGAGTCGACAGAAATTGAAACCAGCGAGTCCGGAACACTGATCTCCGTGCCCAGCCATGTTTGACAGTCAAACCTTGACTCAGCGAGTCCAACTTCAACTCACCCAGACTCAGCAAGAGTATCTACAAAAAGCTAGGGGAAGGAAAAAAGATTGCAGGACGCTACCGGCCAATTGTGGCGGCACCCGCTGTTGGATATTAGCAACAGAACATTTTTTATGTATGCCATCAGAGAGGACTTACGAATCGAACCTTTAATTATAATTAGCACAGAGTACGCAGTGAAAACACATTCATTATATACATACCGGGATCGGATCGGAGCTGGGAACACCTCGCACGTCCCCAGAGCAAGGAGTCTGGGGAACAGGTGTCAACCACAACGATACATGCTGACCATTACACCATGCCACCGCCCTGATTTTACACCAATTTTCGGTGCTTCAAATTATGAGCGAAAATCGGATGGCCGCCGAGACCGGTGGGTCTGCAGGTGGGGTTACCAGCTCGCCAGCCTCTGCGCCGAGATGCAGAATCTTCGTCTAGCCTTATCAGTCTCGAGAGACACACGCTTGACGAGACACATTTAGCATCGTGGTCGGGAGACATCTTGTCAAGAAAACTAACAAGCATGACGAAAGTGAAGTCGATGGCTAACGGAATGGCATGGGTACGGATGTTATTGTCTTTAAATGCCTTAAGGTTTCTGCTCTGCTCTGCCAAATCACCTGTGATTCCGTGATTCCAACGAGGAAGTGTGCGTGAGGCAGAAATGCTATAGATTCAGAGCATCCGTAAGGCTCAACCCAGTATTTCTCTCTGACTGTCCAACTGCGGCTTCATGGATCCATCTGTTCGCCTCCGCTCGCATCTCAATGTCCCTGGCCAACAAGTTACAACAACTCCCACTGTAAGCGGCAGCTCTAAGGGCTTTATGGGGCTTTGACGCCCCTGTGGGGAAGTTCGCTCGATCTGCAGATGTGGGTAAACTGCGGAAATTGGTTTCGTAGGGATCATTGATTTTCCCCACTACGATTTCTTTCCTTTGGGTCGGAGTGGATGTATCCAAAGACGCAGGACGAACATACCTTACCTTCTGGGGACCTTTGGTAGTAATCAACAGTATGGGTATAAGTGCGCTCTTCCCTGCTGAAACCATCTGCATGCGCTACATCGAGCGTGCGTACAGGATTTCCTAAGTCAACACGAGACTTCTGATGTCCTCACAAACCTCTTCCTTGCTCATTGAACACAGAAGTCATGCCCCTACCAGGAATTTATCCAGTGTTTGACGTAAATATGGTTGTTTTCGCATTTCATAAGACTTGTAAGACCCTGCAGAGCTCGAGTTGTGATCCAAGTGTAATGCTGATGCCACCGTTTCAACCTGGATTTTATCAGTCGCTGCGTTGCTACAAAAAAAAAAATAAAATATAAAAACCATTAGGCCTTGGAATGCTCTGCCTTGTGTGTCCATGCTCTCGAGGGTTAGATATCTCCCATTTGCCATCCTGACAATGATGAAATGGTGGAGAAAAGTGAATACCGTGCCTCAAGAGAGGTTCCAAATCCCCAATTAGTATTCGCAGACGAGGCGTGTGAAGCAACGATCTCAAGACATCGAGGAGACGCAGTCGATTTCCTTTGTCTCAACTTCCACAGCCGATGTCAGAGTCCAGGGATCTTCTCAAGTTGCAAAAAGCACAGTTGATGGCTCCTCCGAACATCATACAAACATTGCCGAGAATGGCTTACGTATTGGCAGGTTGAAAGCTTGAATCCATGATTCGAGGGCTGGGAAGGCTGTGAAAGGGCTTTGGTATGGGTTTACTGTTATAATCTGGTCCCTATTTCTTCGGAGAATTAAAGAGTGGGGCCAGAACTCGTAGCCTATGCGGAAGCGGGATGAAACAATGAGGTTACGCTGATAAAATGATAACTGAGGCCCCTGCAGTAGCGAATGCCGTGGAAAATTTCACCTGACGAGCTCACCCAGACTGTGTCAAGAACAGGATTCCGACCGCGAGATCTTTATTGACACGGAAGACTTTGCTGAATATCCGTCTCCAATAACTGTCGCAGTCTTAAACGGCCGATCTTTGGCTTTGCTGAGACGTGCCCGATAGAAGTCGTGGAGCTCCGTCTGAGGAAGCGTGGCAGGCCATAATTTAACAAGCTTGGCTTGGAGTCGTACCACCAGAGAAAACGAATGCTACTGAAGGGTTCTCAGACTTTTGGGCTGGTTGCACCAACTTCGTCTCACGGAGCATGCGTCGGAGCCTGTAGATACCTGAGTGTTCTTTGTTGGTTATGGTTAGAAAAAGGATCAGAGCCGGTTCAGTAGATCATTCGCAGGCCAGGAGGAGTCCAGGAGTCCAGGACTGCGTCTGATAGTAGAACTTCCATATGGCAATCGGCTGGTCGAGGTGAGATGTGTTCAATCGAAAGTCTTCCTGTCTTGGTCTAAGGTAGTGCATTCTTGGCCGGTAGTGTCTAGTCTTGCAGTTACTCCAAAGTCCGTGTTGATCCCAATGCATGATGCGGTCTAGGTTGGCCTGACGTCTAGTGTCTGGAAATACAATCCCGGCCTCACTCGCCCTCAGTATTAGGTCACCGACGCCAGTCTGGACACTGGTGGCGATTGGTGGGCAAAACAAGGGTCAAGAGAACTCCTCACGTTACACGATACCCTTCCAGCGCTGATCGTTGCAGTTGCAGTGATGATGTCGAGCCGCTCTCCTGCTCCCCACCAGGTTGGCATCGCAATGCTGCAAAGCTGCCCTGGCTGCCTCAAGTCTGGATCCTGGTCGCCTCTAGCCCCAAATTGGGGACACTCCAAACTCGAGCATCCACTTGCGACTTGCATGGCAGGAGGGGGGCGAAATGCTTTCTCAACTGGGTAGTAGGGTCGGTCTCGATCGCACTGAGAGTCGACAAAAGGCCCTCGATCGGCAATTGTTAGGACGATCGTTGATTCGACATCGCCAAGTCGCGGATGAAGGCGTTTCTAAGAAATGGAAAGGGTTCGCGACAGGCCCTCGAGGTTTTAATGTCGAGCTAGCGGAAAGGCGTGTCCAGGGCCTCAGGCGGCTTCAGGACAAGCGCCAGAAACCAAGCGAATGATTGCAGGACCCGGTATTTGGCCGCTGCACCAGCAACCTGGGCATCTGAGCAGAGCAAGTCGCCCCCCAACCATAGCAGAGGGATGATGGGTGAAGGACAAGGGAGGGCGAGAATAAGCTGAGAGCGATGTGAGAGGTCAGCGACTGGCGGTGAATTATCTTGGGAACCAACTGGTTGCCGGGAAGTGAGGTGCAGATGAGACGCAGATGCAGCTGCAGGTGAGTTGCATGTGAGAGGAGAATCGGAGCCACCTGGGCTGGTTGGGACCGCAAGCGCAATTCCCGACCGTAGTTTTGCACGCAGCACTAGGTACTCCGGTGGATCACACAGGCCTTGGCGGCACAACCACCATTTCCGGACCGTCGACCTCGACGTCTCACGACTCGCACTATATTGAGGGGTTCGCAAGTCGCTGCAAGTTGCTTTCATTTATCCATCCATCGAGCCTGTCCTTGGCCTGTCCTTGGCCTGTCCTGGGCTGTCCACGCCATCCGCCATCCCACTACGGAGTAGTCACTCGATGAACCCCAGCTCCCTTGCCTCGCACCCCTTCCTTTTAGGATCTGCTCTATCGAAAACTTTGCACCATCTGCCGGACAAGCTTTCCCCGTCCCTCGAGTTTCTGGGAGTCCGGTCCACCCAGCCCACTCCATCGACTAACCTCCCGCTTTACAACTCTTTTCTGTCTTCAGCTGTTGAGTGCTTGTGGCCCGTTGACCTCTGCCATCCATCAGAATTTTTCTAAACGGCCATATGTTTGCCTGTTGGGTGCTTCTTCTCTCCGACCGAAAGGATTAGACATGAATGCGCCAGCCTCTCATATCAAGACGCGCCTGTAAAGTGTCGCGCTCGCCCTCATCCATCATGTCTCCAGAGCCTGTGCCGGACCGTAGCGGCCGCCCAAAACGCAACAAGACAGAATTGGCTTGCGATACGTGTCGTAAGCGGAAGTCCAGGTGTGATGGCCGCCGTCCGTCATGCTCCCATTGCGAGAACATGGGACTCGAGTGTATTTATCGTCCTCCGTTAACCAGCCTGGAGACGTGAGTATCCCCGACAAGTACACAGGTCAAAGGTAGAACTGCCTCACTAACCCCATGCCCCAAGGGATGCATCCGTTCTGGCTCGTCTGTCACAAATTGAGACGCGCCTGCAAGCCCTTGACCAGGGCCGTATAGACCCGAGTCTCGCCAGCACTCCTGCTCAAGAAGTTGCCGTTATCAAGACGTGGCCCAGAGTTCCAGATTTCCACCACGCGGCCGCCCATAAAATGTTCAACTACTGGTCAAGACTCCGAATCAACCTCGATATCCCCGGTCTACAGCCGCTTAAATTTCTGGGCCAAGTAGATGACAATGACTCAGGCCTCTTTAGTGCTAATTTCGAGAGCCCGGTCCCTGCAGATATACCCATGTCTGTCGTGGTCAAGTGTATCGAGTCCTTGTTCGCAAGTATGGAGGAACTGCCTTTCGTCTTTCGGCACCTCTTCCTGTATGGAGGACTGTCGAACGATGTATGTCTCGACGTCTTTCGGCGGCATTTAGAGGCGTCTCCAGGTCAAGATGTCATCCTCTTCTTCAAGGCACAAACCATCGAAGAGCTCCTTATCCAGGCCGTGGCTCTCAAACATATGGCGACCGTTACGGGGGACACCAGGTTGCTGAGTGAGAAGGCAGATCTCTCCTTCCGATATGCTCTTCAACAGATGTGGGTGCTGCAAGCCCAGCAAAGCCCACGAACGCTGCCATTCCGATTCTTGTTTGTCATCATGCTGCTCTATCTTTATGGGAGACCATACCATGCTTTGCGCATCCTGCAAAGTCTTGAACCCCTGGTTTATGGTCCTCCGCCCAAACCTCAAGACGACCCTGCAGTCAAATCTCAGTATGAAGCCTGTTTACACCAGTACTTTATCCTGGAAAGCGATATACTGAGCGAAGTGGATGGGTTGCCCTTAGAGCGTCTCCATAACCTCTTCGTTGCCACATTGACCCAAGACGCAGCAGCCACTCCTCCTAACTTGTTCGGGAACGAACCGATTGCAGCGTCGGTAGACAATTATCAGTCACAAGAACTCTTGGCTCACTTGCAGCTCAGAGCCTACATGAACACTATTCTAGAACATATGTACCAAATCGAACGAGCCTATTGCCGCCCCGAGGATGTTGCAGGGGTCGTCACCCATATTGCTCGACGTTTGGATCTATGGTATTGGACCCTTCCTCTGAACATGAGATTTCCTCGGCACCCATCGTCTTTCTGTCTGGCATCACACAACATGTCGCACATCATGGTAAGCAAAGAAACCCTTTTGGCTGTGCGATTTTCTCATGTATCCAGGATGAATTGAGGTTCCGATACTATGCGACCATATTCCTCGTCAATCGCCCGGTATTATACCATGTGCTATACGCGAAGTATGAAAACGCCGTCAACGGTTCAAACATCGATGGCCCGGTAGAAGACCCAATCCAGGATCCATGGGTGTATGAGTCTTGTCATAATTGCGTGCAGAATGCCACCATGATTATTCTTCTACACTCGAGAAGACATCAAGCCCACCGCAACGAATACTTCGAGAGTTGGTGCAACCTTCAGCATCTAGTTGCAGCATATGCAATCATACTTCAGGTTCAGACATCTGCGATATCGATCCTCCTTCAAGGGTACGGAGATCCAGATCAGTTACTCGACCTTGCTGAAGTCGTTCTTGAACATGGCTTGAACAGGCCTCCCAACATACGCGAATCGTTGGCCATCCTCAGAAACGTCCGCCAAAACTTTCAGAGGACCACACCACGCACGCCGTCGGTTGGCAATGGTTATGCGACTTCACCTGTCTATTCCGCCACGAGCCATCAAAGCCAGCCCAGTCATCAGAGCTAGAGCCTTCCTTGTCTTGGTCTGGATCAGGCCAAATTGCGCGCTGAGGAGATTCTGGAGACGATTATCCGTGTTTCGACGCTTTGAGACGTCAGCAGCAGGTCAAATACCTTTTGCCTCTCTGGAAACTGAAAAGGAACCGCTGGGGTTTCAAAGATGCTTGCTGATCGGGTCAATCGACTATCACGGGGCTCCATCCGAGAGGCCCTCCCGATCATGTTGGACCCGGACGCCTACAGCAGGTCAGTTCTGATACTACGCCTTCTGGAGAGGCCTTACTTTCTGGGACGGCACCACCGTTCTTTGCTAGTCTGGGCGCTAGACTCAGCTTACCTAGCACTGCAAAAGAGGACGCTCCACCCGCGGCGGGAATGTTGTTTGCAAGCCCGTTCATGCACGCAAATGCCAAGGTTGCGAACTTGATGGCTTCCTTGAATGGTGCTGGGAGTCCATATTCATCACTGGTGCGAAGCGCAACCCCGTGCAAAGCCAGCCTCTCCTTGAGGTGATGCATAAGTGTGTCGTTCCTGGTACCACCTCCACTGGCAATGACCGTCTTTACAGGGGCTTTGGGCACAATAAAGTCGACCACTGATCGCTCGATTGTCTTTGCCGTAAAGAGCGTAAGAGTTGCCAAGAGATCCTCAGTTGATGCATCCTCGTAATCGTCTAGCATCTTATCCACATGCTCACCACCGAAGTCCAGGCGCCATGCTGAACGAGGTGGCCTTCGGAGGAAGAATTCATGTTCTTCGAGCCTCGCCAAAAGCGCTGGGATTACTTGACCTCTGGCCGCCAATGCACCACCAGCATCATACGGCTTGCCTTCTCGAACTTTCATGACATGGTCAATCATCACATTTCCCGGCCCAGTGTCGAAGGCCATCATCTTATGCCGGTCCGCGTCGGCAAGCTGTAAATTGGCAATGCCTCCGATATTCAGCGAAACAACGGGTCCTTCATTGCGGAATGAGCAAAAATCGAGATATTGCATCAGCGGAGCCCCGGAACCTCCCAATGCGTGGTCAATAGGTCGGAACTGTGTGACTGTTGTGATGTTCGTCAGGGCTGTGACAACGCCAGATTCGACGATAAACAGCCCACATGCAAATCCCCCCTTGGTCCACCTATCAACCAGAACTTTGCTTCCGCTTGCGAAATATTCTCTTTCTCTTTCTCTGTTTGGAGGCTCTTGATAGATCGTTTGGCCGTCATAACCGACAACATCGATTTCTTCTGGCCTCATTCCCACCTTGTCGAGCAGCTTGTTCGTTATGTCGGCATAAGCGGCGCCGGCAGCATAGTTGAGCCTGCACAAGTCGAAGAGCGGGAGCTCGTTGGAGAAAGCCTTCAGAACATGGGGCTGCAACTCTTCTGGCCACGGCTCCGAGATACCATCGATATACTTCGGACGGTCCGGGTGGCCGTCCGGTGCGATATTAATGCTACATAAGACGGCGTCAATTCCATCAAAAGAAGAGCCGCTGTTGAGCCCAATGATATAAGGCATCTTAAATTTATAACCAGTTGCAACGAAACTTTCTCATATGAGGGGCTTTTTCGACACGGTCAACTCCGGTTCAAGCTCTGGTTAACATCACCAATGAACGAAATTGAAAAGTTTCAGGGCCAAGAGTCCGACTGAAGAACGTATTTGTAAGATTTTTGATTGCGCTGTGGCCTCAGGAACTTGTTGGTCCAAGAAACACAGATTGGACCTGCGACCTCGCTATCTGAATACCAAGCCATATGCCGACGCCCTGGATTTCGGTGTCTGAGGGATCACCAACAACCGAGGGAAATTCCGTCCACCATGGACATGTAGGATAACGAGGAGAATTCGGTCCTCTCCCCTATCGGGGGTCCACCGACGGGGAGGTTCCGAGCTCTATAGGATTTATATAGTCGGAGTTGGCCAGCATATATTGAAACGTATTTCCTACACGACCGCATATGTTTGGTTGCTGTTTTCCAGAGCTTGCCTCTCGATGCGGGTGATTAACTTGCCATAGATGTTTCTCTCCCAAGAAAGGTCCCAAGTTTTCCACGATGTCAGCCAATGTCCTGCCTCTGGAAGCGAGCGCGAACCACTGAACGATAATGGATCGTGCCATTCGGTCGAGAAATCCGTGGGCGAGACGGTGCATTGCAAAAATGCGCTCGGGTGGGAGCAGCACCAGCAATCGCCCTAGCTGAAGAATCATAACCCTACTCTCTCTCGCTACTCCCGCTCCTCGTGCACCGCCCTGGCAGGTCCTTTGAAAGACTCTTGCGTGCGCTGCGATGAAATCCTCTTCTACTCATTCCAATTCGAGTTATGAACTTTCTCCCTTCTCAATTGAAATTACTCACTGTTGCCGCTCTTGTTTCGATAAGGCCCGGCGAACTTCTCGATCCACCTTTATGGGCTTTTGGGCCTAACACTCCCGTGTTATGCTGCCACCGAATGACACGTTCATTACTTAACCATGGTTGAGGCTCGTCGAATGGTCTGGTATGGCTTCCTCCGGACTTTATCCACGTGAATCCGGAAAGACGAAATGAACATGCCTCTCGCGTCGGGATGTTCGAGTGCAATGCCTATCACTGTGTCCAGATCTTCGGAGACAATCCGGTTTTCATTATCGGCCCGCAAAGAACCCTGCATACTCTGGTCGGTAAGCGGCTATGTAGCTTTTCTCAGACTGATAAGGGGTTCATTCTCAGGATATCTGGCTCGAAGTATGCACCTGAACATTTTAAACCTTTTCAACTACGAGACGATGGCGGCTGTCAAGGGGGGTTTTCGACGTGCTATTCTCCAATATCCCGGCTCCGTCACCCAAGCATACCAAATGCAAGAGCATCATCATTGAAGCCTCTGCCTCTGGAGACGCGCGCAAGCCAGTGCGATACCTGAGAGCCTTGGAAGAATCTGGAGCACAACAGACATCGGCTATTGACCTTCATCCAAAATGTTTTCAAGCTGCAACTCCAGAACAAAGGACCTCGGAGCGGAATGGCCAACCACAGCGAACGCAAGCTATTCTACTAATCACGTCCTCCGTGTCTGCCACGGTAACCTCCAGGACCCTGTACCACTTCTCGCTTCCAAAGGCTTGATGTATGACGGCTATTCCCTTCCACGCAGGGTTGGAAGGGCCCAATGCACCATACCAACCGAAAGAAGACTGCAGGTCAACCAGCCCAGGGATCTAGAGGGAGTCCTGCTTGTCCGGATTTTCATCAATATCCATTCGGGACTCACCCACGCCAATTGCGGGGGACAAACCGACCAAAGGGACAAATTCCCCTCCGTACCGCTGATGCCTCTCTTGGTGATGATACCTGGCAAACTGGGTGCCGACACCTCATAGACGTGCAGAGAAATCCATTGCTGGCCATAGGCTGTACACTCTTTTTGGCGATCTCGAAGCTGCAGCATCCAGGGTCCTTTCACTTCCAAAACTGAACCAGCCACTATCCACCGCTCCAGCAGATGCTCGCTTGTTCTCATCAAGACTCGGTGGTTGGTGGAAGTTCCATGAGGAGGGGAATTTCTTTCCCATTTGCAAGCCTGCATTATGCATTAGAGGCAAGCTTGGACCACCTTCTGGCCCCTGTCAAGCTATGCTTCCGCCCGTTACCCGCGGGCCAGGCTAGAGACCTAGAGGACGTCCCTGGGAATCTTAGGGTATCCCAAGGAGTCCTAAGGCATCCAAATCAGTTAAGTTGCGTCTAGCTGGGTGTCCTTCAGTGCCTATCAACGCCTGCACCACATACCCGCCGCTATCTCAACCCAAATAACCCTTGCCTTGGTTGACGCCATTATCCATCGCCATGCTTCCAGAAGTCCGGGGGTATGACAGTTGGCAGACATCCAATGTGCCAACCAGCAGCGGTGACCAGTCGATCTTTCCTCTGCTCGATCAAGGCACATTCAGCACATTCCACCAGGACCGTCTGATCGACTACCTATCATATAAAGCATTGGTTATCCCTCCATGGCCCTTTCCTTTGTCTAGCACCAGTTGGCTGGCTCCCTCTCTCATCACCTTTTGAGTCTTTGGCGAGAATTTCCACATTGGCTAGATCTTCAGGATGCCCGTTATGAAGATGCAGATGTTCAACATCAACTGGGGTCACCACAGATGGGCCGTCTTCTTCTGTGCTGTCTCCAGCCTTGGTGCACTTTGCTATGGGTACGATCAGATATACTACACTGGTGTTTTGGGAATGAAAAGATTTGTGCACGACTACGGCACCACCCATGACAAGGACGGCAACATTGCCTTGACCACCACCTTTCTTTCCCTCACAGCATCCATCATCTACGTGGGAGAGCTCGTCGGTGCTCTTCTGTCTGCCCCAATCAACGATTTCTTCGGCAGAAAGGGCGTCTTTCTTTGTGCTTCGGCTTGTATCATTGCAGGAGCCATCACTCAATGTGCCGATCAAGGCTCCATGGGAGTCATCTGCTTGGGCCGTATCCTGATCGGCCTCGGTATCGGCCAGTTTACAGTGACTTGCCTTCTGTATATTGGAGAGGTCGCGCCGCAGGCAATTCGGGGTCCTGCCTTGATGATGTTCCAATTTATGCAGTCCTGCTCTCAACTTGTTGGGTCGGGGATCACGCAGGGCACGGAAACTATTACCACGACTGCTTCATACCGAATCCCCATGGGGTTACTGGCTCTACTGCCTCTCCTTATGCTCGTGGGCCTGATCTTCATCCCGGAGTCCCCCGTCTGGTACATCCGACGAGGTCGACCAGAGAAAGCCGCCAAAGCGCTTCTGAAAATCAACCGCAGCATGCCAGGATACACCCCTGAAGAAGACATCGCAGCCTTTACGCACATGGTCGAAACCGAACGGCTTCGGGAGGCGAACTCATCCTGGATGTCGCTGTTGAGGGACCCCATCGAACGACGAAAGCTCATATACTCGTGTGGTGCAATGGTGGCTCAGCAAATCAACGGAATCCAGTTCTTCTATTCATATGGTGTGGTGTTTGCACAGTCTAT